AAAGGACTAGAGTGCATGCTTTGCATGTGGGAGGCCCAAGTTGGATCCCTAATACCATATAGACCCCAAAGCACTGCAGGGAGAGACCCCTGGCTCCCTAATTTTCCAAGAAGTGAGCTAGGAATAGCCTGATATGCTGCTAGGTGTGACCCCCCAAATCAAAACTCGTGTGTGTGTGTGTGTGTGTATGTGTGAAACAGATGTTATTTTTACATCTAGGTCATATCAATGTATATATGGAACTTGAATTTGCTTCATAATTAGGTAATTTTATTTTTAAAAAAGAATGAAAGGCTAATTATTGTGCACTAATGTGATCAAATTACCAAAAGCTTTAAGTAAGTTCTATTTTAGTTCTCAGCATGACATGCTTTTAAAAATATCTCTACTTAGAGTTGTTCATAAGTATTAAAGAATTCTTTTTAGGTTGGTGATAGCTCGGATGATAAAGAAACCATTATCTTTGATTTGGAGTGTTTAACTCTAGTTCAATTCATGACAGACTGAAAATGAGCTGCAGTGTTATCTACCTCAGGTCCTGTTCAGTGCCCTGTGGTATATGTGTGTCATATACAGCAGGTTTCATAGGAGCATGTTTTTAGTGGATGGAAAAGTCGTTTCATGCTACCTCGTGAAAATATATGGTAGCATAAACAGTGCAGACTGTAAAACTTTGCAGAGTGGGTTGGCATGAAAATTCTACCTTTGCATGCAAAAGGCCCAGGTTCCAACTGCACGGTTCCTGTAACCTATGGGTAAAGGAAACACAATGAAGTTCATTGAGAGGTTTTTTTTGTTTGTTTGTTTTTTGTTTTTTCCTGATGAGGAAGAAGAGGAATAGAAGGAGGAATTCACTTTTTAAATTCCAGATTTTTATGCTTTTGATCAATTTATAAGGAATACCTTATAAATTGTGTTTATAAATAAAACTCATTAGTGTTTTATTTTCAGAACAGATGATAAACTACCTTAGTTTCTGCTTACCTCTCCCTTCTTTATTACTATTACTTTATTATCTAATTATTACTTGCAGATCAGTTTACCATACATATATTTTACAATGAAGACTTCTCCCTCATTTTAGTGGATTTCTCAAAATGATATTAATCAAAACATTCTTTTCTACTTTTTTGATTTTTGGGCCATACCTGACATTGGTGCTTCAGACTTACTTCTGGCTGTGTGCTGAAGGATCACCCCTGTCAGTGATTTTGGGACTAGGTGGTGCTAGGGATTGGTTCAAGGCTCATGTAAGGCAAGCACCTTCCTCACTTTGCTATCTCTCTGGCCCCAGTTAAAATATTCTTAAGCAATAGATTTGAAGTAACTGCAAAAAAGTGAAATACATTATAGTCTTGAATTTCAGTTAATTCCAGTGAATTTAAATAATTTAAATTTAAATCATTACCAGGCACTAATCTCCCCCCTCCCCCATGCCAGACACTCTTATTGGGTTTCTGTTTTTGTCTTTTATTACTCAGCACCGGCCACTTTATGGACAGTCATGTGAGAAATGATGCACAGAGTGGAACTTGTATGGACTTCTTTCTGTACTATGAATGGTTCTAATATTTTATGGCTATTTATCCTGAGAGACTTAGGCTCATGAGCACATTTTCATAATACTTTTTATTTTTTCTTTTAGGGTGACACCTGGCGATGCTCAGTTGTTACTCCTGGCTCTGCACTCAGGAATTACTTTTGGTGTGCTCAGGGGACCATATGAGCTGCCTAGTATTGAACTTGGGTTGGCCCCTTGCAGGGCAAACGCCCTACCCACTCTACTATATTGCTCTGGCCCCTCATAATACTTAAGAACCTCACAACAGATAAATCTTTAAACTTGTCTTAAACAGATTCTTTTTAGAAAAATATTTGCTTCCATTTGTTCTAAGAGAAACAAACTGCTCTGCTACTATTTCAGAACCCTAATATTTTAGTCATAAAGCAAAGCATTTCCCTGTATTTCTAACCTAACACATCCTTGTCCAGCTAAAGCTATGCATCAAAAAATGGTTTTTTTTTTCCTCTTCAAACTTTTGGGCCTACTTGGCAACACTCAGGGTTATTGCTGGCTCTGCACTCAGGAATCCCTTCTGGTGGCATTGGGAGACCATATTGGATGCCAGAGATCGAATGAGTATGTGCATTTATGTCTCTCCATCCCATTAAACCAAAACGGTTTTGAAGTTTCATTTTTTTCTCTTTCCTTTCCTTCCCCTGCCCTTGTTTGCTGATGTGAGTGATAGTAGCTTGGAGACACCATTACGTGCTCGCTGGGGTCATGCTCTCCTGCTGTGATCCAACACCTTGCAGGTGTGGTCCTCACGCATGGTCTCCAGAACCCCTGGCCTTTAATTGTGAGGTGTGCACACACCTGGCTAGAATGCCAGAGATCTCAGTCTCTGTAGTGGGACTGTCAGTGTCACACAGCACAAGTAGGTGTTGATAATACCCAACTCCTGGGCTTATGCTGCATGGCAGGCTCTCGCGGCCTCTGAGCCATCCCTGGGCCCTTTAGAAATGTTTTTAATAGACATTAAAATGTCTGTTAAATTCCAGATGAGTCACCTCCACCAACTCATATTTTGAATTTGTATTCTCATGGTCTATCAAACAGGGAGGTTAATTTCTTTCATACGGGTTCTCTGGCTTTGCAAAGAGGAACCTAGAACGTAACTAGAAGGAAATTCTAGCCATTCTAGTTCAGAGTTCTGACTTTAAAAGGAACCCATCTTTAAAAAAATTTAAGATAAATAAATGAAAGGAAGCTGTCTAACCCCCATCCCTCTCCTACCACCTTATGGATATGGAGTAAGGTGAATTTCAGAGTTTACAGCAGAAAGAAATTCTAGGAACTGTCTCTGAATTAGCTGCTTGGACCTAGCCTATGTCTGAGAAAAGTTGCTGAGTCCAGTAGTCCCAAAGTTGTCTTGAGGTCCCCAAAACTGCCAATGTATTTCGGGATTTAATAAAAGGAACCAGTACCATACAGGACATCCCCCACTGAGCTTTTTTTCTTTTGCTTTTTCTTTTTTAAGAGTAAAATAGTGATATTGAAGGAAATGTACTTTGTGAAATGTGACTGGCTGAAGGCTGAGATACAGGTCTGGGAGAGGCCGACAGGGCTTCTCAGTTGGGGAAAGCGCAGAGAATGGCTTTGGGCAAGAAGGTCAGAGACAGTTTCTCTAAATTGTCCTGGCCTGGAGTTCTTGCGTGCATAAAAGTTCACCTGAGCATTGTCACAGGGAAAGCCTTGGGCTCCTGATGCTCCTTTTTATATTCCCATGCCCTTTGTTGAGTTGGTTTGTTTTGGGGAAGGGTAGGCATATCCAGTGGTGCTCAGGAACTCTGTGCTTGAACCTGGGGTTCTGGTGCGTGAAGCAGGTACTCCAGCTTCTTACGTCATCTTCCTGGTCCTCCTTATGAGATGCACTACTCATGGAAATTATGTCATCACCTTAAAATGCTTTTGTGACGTCTTATAGACATGTAGATTTCCAACAAGGCATCCTTAACAGTCCTGACTTTATGCTTCAGAAAGAGGATACTATGCCCCAGTTTGCAATTCACACAAATTAAAGGAATAATGATATATTTATTAATTAGGACTAGATTTGACTGTTACAAAGTTTTTTAATGTGTGAGTAGAGATTGATTTTTTTTCCTTTCATATACCCGGCTGTGCCCAAGGCTTATTCCTGGCTCTGCACTCAGGCATCCCTCCTGGCAGGGCTTGGAGGGACCGAATTGGGTCAGCCACATGCAAGGAAAGCACCTTACCCTCTGTGTTATCTCTCTGGCCCCAAGGGATTGATTTTCCTTTGGGATTGATTTTTCTTTGGAATAAAAATGTCAAAAAGAAAGTCTAGTATTAAAGTGTTTGTTTCAGAAGAGTATTAAGTCTTCAATTCTCCATGTGCTCCATCCATTCCTGTCTTACATATTACTCTTACATCTTCGGGGTATCTGAGATGGCTTTTAGAGCATTGGCTGTCAGAGGACCATATCTCCTGCTTGAACCCGCTCCCTTTTCTAGAAGGGGTCACAGGTAGTTTCCCCTTCACTCACTTGTCATCACTGTTGTAAGAGAAGCTGAAAGGCATGACCGGGAAGGTGGCTCTTGCTCTTTTTTTTCCTTTCCCCTTCCACCATTCCTCTTCTCTCTTCCCCCTTCCCTTTCCCATTCCCATTCCTGCAGAGCCTGGGTGATGGCTTGGAAAACTTTGCATGTAAGAGGTCAGGGCTGGAGCGATAGTATTGTGGGTAGGGCCTTGCACGCGGCCCACCTGGGTTTGATTCCCAGCATCCCATGTGGTCCCCAGAGCACTGCCAGGAGTGATTCCTGAGTGCAGAGCCAGGAGTCAGCCCTGATCATTGCCGGGTGTGACCCAAAAAGGCCCTCCCCCCCCAAAAAAAAAGAGGTCAGGGTTTGACCCCTGACACTGCAGCAGCCCCTCCACCACCAATAGTAGCCTTGGGAGCACCACAAAAATTAGAACAAGAAACTCCAGACCCTCGCCTTTCTCTCTGGCCTTACCCTTTCAGTCCAGTTCTACTTGTGACAACAGTTCCAAAGTTTCCTGCTCCTGTGACAGTGAGCAGAAGCAGTAATGAAGACGCCTGACTGTCCAGGTTCCATTATCTGGCCTAGGAGCTCAAGGAGCTGTCCATTAAACTTTTCATAATAGTTCACTTTGGGGTATCTTGGGGTGACTGCAGCTCACTCTGGGCTCCATCATTGGTGAGGGTATCTTTTATGTCAGTGGAAAAGCCTTTGGCTTTGATGTTAACTTCTCTCTGAGGTAAGCTGACACTCACTGTTTGTCCCCTTTGAAACTGTAAGACCTAGTTGAAGTTCTCCAGGGGAGACTGAAACAAAATGGAAATCTTATAACTTGTACTTTTTGGTTTCTTTATATCGACTTTACCTTTTGACACAGCTCTCTTGTTTTTTGTCCCTCTCTCCTCTCTCCCACCTTTCCCCTCTCTGCTCTCAGGTGAAGGCCTCCCACAGGTGTTTTACTTCGGACCGTGTGGGAAATACAATGCCATGGTGCTGGAGCTCCTGGGGCCGAGCTTGGAGGACTTGTTTGACCTCTGTGACCGAACTTTTACCTTGAAGACTGTGTTAATGATAGCCATCCAATTGGTAAGTTGTCTTTGCTCGTCTGCAAGAGGATAAATGGTTCCCCCAGCCATGTGCTTAGACCCTGTTGAAGCTTTACCAGTTGTAGTGACACCTACTACCTCGATATTCTGCTGGATATGATGATGTACGAGGGCAACTGGGCTACTCCAGAGAAGGCACTCAGTATCTTCTGTATGCACTGTTTTTAGAACTTGCGTTGAGGTGCAGTGAACTGTCTTTAACTGACATGGAAGCATATTATTTAGGGAGAAAGAGGAAGACTAAGAAACACTGTACAGATGTGAATAATTTTGTTGTTGTTTCCTTTAAACTGTAAACATGTGATTATAAGATTTTCTCAAGCCCTGTTGCATCTGAGAGAAGATTGGAGCTTTTCTAAGTAAAATTAGAAAAAAGAGGGACAGACATAGAATGACTGCACTCATTTGTAGAATATGAAGTAACATAATATGAGACTAACACCTAAGGACAGTAGGCATATAAGGGCGAGGAAGATCACTCCACAGTTTGGAAGCCAGCCTCACGTGCTGGGGGAGTGGCAGTTGGGATGGAGAAGGGACCATTAAGTAAATGATGGTTGGAGGGATTGCTTGGGATGGGGGATGCATGCTGAAAGTAGATTAAGGACCAAACATGATGATCTCTCAGTATCTGTGTTGCAAACCATCTGTCACTGTCACTGTCCTCTCGTTGTTCATCGATTTGCTCGAGTGGGCCCAGTAATGTCTCTATCGTGAGACTTGCTCTTACTGTGTTTGGCATATTGAATACATCACGGGTAGCTTGCCAGGCTTTGGCGTGCAGGCAAGATACTCTCGGTAGCTTGCTGGGCTCTCTGAGAGGGATAGAGGAATCGAACCCGGCTCGGCCGGGTTGGCTGTGCACAATGCAAACGCCCTACTGCTGTGCTATTGCTCCAGCCCTTTGCAAACCATAATGCCCAAAAGTAGAGAGATAGTAAGAAGGAATGTACCTGCCATAGAGGCAGGGGGTAGGATGCAGTAAGGATGGCAGGAGGGATACTGGGAACATTGGTGGTGGAAAACGCGCACTGGTGGAGGGATAGGTGCTTGATCATTGTATGACTGAAACTGAATCATGATAGTTTATAACTGTATCTCATGGTGATTCAGTTAAAAAAAAAAAAAGAAAAAGATTGGAGCTCTTCCGATCTGTTGCCCTAACCATCAGATTCCAAGGGTGTGTTTGAGTACTCACTGTGATTCTCTATTCTTGGCTTCTGCTAAAGACCGAGACACACGCTTAGCTCCCACAAGTTTCACTTTGGTACTAGCCTAAGGAGCAGTTAAAAAACAGTTCCTTTGAGAAGTTTGTCAGCTTCAGAGGAAAGATGCAAATTAGCTCATAAAACTTGAAATTTTATTATTTATTTGGGCTGTGTATTTTTGTTTGGAGACCATATCTGGCAGTGCTCAGGGATCGCTCCTGGTGGAGCTGCAGTGACCATACTTGGTGCCAGGGATTGAACCCAGGTCAGCCCCATGCAAGGCTAGTGCCTTATCCACTGTACTGTCTCTTTAGCCCAGTGTCCTTTAACAGAAAAACATAATAATCGCACTTCAACCTCTGTTTCTAACTTCCTCTGTGATAGCAGAGCTGGATCAACTTCTCTGGGTCTCATTTCTCTTAATTTTGCTGTAAAGCAAGTCAGGCTGGGGCTGGGTGACTGGGCAGGCTAATGTGTGGAGAGTGCTGAATCTCTCCTCGGAGGCTCCCTCCCACACTCCAATATTCTTTCTGCTAGTAAACACTTCTTTCCTGTCACATGCTTACTTTTGGAAATAGTATAAAAATAACTAATTCTATTCGTCAGTTGCAAGTTGTGTCTTTGAGGAACAAATATTTCAGTCATTAAAACTTGGACTAGTAAAAGAAAATATCTTCGTGTTCTTTTCATATTCTTTAAGTCTTTTTTTTTTTTTGTCTTCTAGCTCTCTCGAATGGAGTATGTGCACTCAAGGAATCTCATTTACCGAGATGTTAAGCCAGAGAACTTCCTGATTGGCCGACAAGGCAATAAGAAAGAGCATATCATTCACATTATAGACTTTGGGCTGGCCAAGGAATATATTGACCCTGAAACCAAAAAGCATATACCTTATCGAGAACACAAAAGTTTAACTGGAACTGCAAGATACATGTCTATCAACACGCATCTTGGCAAAGGTGTGTTTATTTTCTGCTCCATGAGAGAGGCAGGTTGTAAAAATGACTTTTTATTCCACTAACGTGTTTGTCCCCATTATGCATCACAATTTGTGGTTTGTATTGCTTTATGAGGTGTTTTTATACTCGAGCAATTCAGATGGTAAGTTCAGTGACTCCCCTAAGTATTCTGACAACAAGCATAAGCATAAGGATTTTAAATTCTTCAGCGGGTAGGGCGTTCGCCTTACAAGCGGCCAACATGACCGACCCGAGTTCGATTCCTCCGCCCCTCTCGGAGAGCCCGGCAAGCTACCGAGAGTATTCGATATGCCAGACACAGTAACAACAAAGTCTCCAATGGAGACGTTACTGGGCCCGCTCGAGCAAATCGACGATCAACGGGAGGGCCTTTACCTTACCTTACCATACTATGTTTCTGAGTTTCTCAGCAGTATGTGTCCTTGATTATTTGATTAAGGTGAAAGCATTTGAGTAAGTTCAATGGTGAGTTTGGCATTTACATAGATCTGACCCATAAGTGATAGTTCTGAAAAGGACATTGGGCTTTGATGAAAAGATTTCTGCTTTGGAGAGTGCTTTGCTATGATTTGAAGTGAGCTGTTCATTTTATATAATTTTGTTAGTAATGATACAAGAAAGAGGTTATGCCTTTTTCCATAATATATATATATATATATACATATATATGTATATATAGCAAAAATATATTTGCTGGGGCTGGAGAGATAGCACAGCGGATAGGGCATTTGCCTTGCACACGGCCGACCCAGGTACGATTCCCAACATCCCATATGGTTCCCTGAGCATCGCTAGGAGTAACTCCTGTGCATCGCCAGGTATGACCCAAAAAACAAACAAAAAAAAAATTGCTTTTCTGCAAGTCTTGCATTTTATTCAAGACAGGCAGTTTTCACAAATACTGCTATTAGTTGTAATCAAGACAGTAGTCCTAGGACGGATCAGTAGTTCAGTGGCTAGAATACTTGCCTTACATGCAGCTGACCTGGGTTTGATCCTCAGCACTACATAGGGTGTGTGTATATGTATGTGTGTGTGTGGTGTTGGTTGGGGGGAGGGGAGGTATTTGTGAGAGTAGCCAAAGGAATAGTACAGGGAGTAGGCCGAACCCTGGGCTCCTTGTCACTGCTTGGGAAACACCTTTTTTCTCTCTGTTACTTATTTCCTTTCATAAAAGATCCCATTTGAAGAAAAGGTTCCAAGGTGATTGAAAAATAACAACTCTGCGACTGGAGTGATAGTACAGAGAACTTGCCTTGCATGTGGCCGAGCTAGTTCCACTTTCAGCACCCTTTATGATCCCCTAAGCAGCACAAGGTGACCCCAAAACAAAAAAAGAAAATAACCACTCTAAAGTAGACAGTGTAATCAAGTATGTCCAAGAGTTGGACATAGCTGATATTAGGTTTTTAAATATTAATGAAGGTGGGCTGGATCGATAGTACAGAGGATAGGGCATTTGCCTAGCATGCAGCCTACCCGGGTTCGATTCCCAGCATCCCATATGGTTCCTTGTGTACCGCCAGGAGTAATTCCTGAGTGCAAAACCAGGAGTAACCCCTGTGCATCGCCTGGTATAACCCCCAAAAAAGCAAAAATAAATAAATATCAATGAAGGACAAGGATATAGCTCAGTGGTAGATACTTCTCATGTGTGAGGCCCTGAGTTCTATCCTAGGCACTGCAGAAATATAAATCAGTATTAATGAACTGTTGTATAATAGTACTTAAAATTTTTTAAAATAGTATTTTGGGGGTCATACTAGATGGTCCTCAGTGCTCAGGGGTTTCACCCAGCAGTACTTGGGGACCCATGTGATGCTGGGGATTGAGTCCTGGCCTTCTAAGTGCAAAGCCTGCACTCGGCCTCCAGTTATCACTCTGGCCCTTATGCCAGTATTTTAAAGTATAAAATAAAGTTGCTTCATGGAGTTAGAGGACACCGTATTCAGTTCAGGATCGTAGTACTAGGGAAGAATAAAAATGACTTTACAGAGTATTGTGATGCAACTTGAGCTGAAATCATCATTGCTATTAGAGTTTTTCCAGCAACTTCCTGGAAACCCTAACTTAAGTAATGCAACACTTTATAATTAGGATGGAAAGCCCTGTGTCACTTCCCTGCTAGTTATTACAAAAGTTTCACTTTGGACAAATTCCATAATGTTTCTAAAATTTGTCTTTTAGGTGAGAATTATACTTTACAAGGTGTTCTGAGGATTTAAGGGGTCACACAAATAATTGGTCTCCTTCATAGTGCTTAATATTCTCTTCCTATTGTACATGAGGCAAATTGTCATAAGTTGTAAGTCATAATTTGATTTATTTATAAATAGGTTTGCTAATAGCACCTTCCATTTTAGGGTTTTAAAGGAATACATGTAGAGTGCTTACCTTGTAATAGTGATAGTTACTACAGTGATTATAGTGATGGTAGAACTTATTAAAAAATGCATTTTAAGCATCTCTTGTCATAGAGTTCCTTCATTTCTTGGTAGAGCCTTTCCTACTGAAGTTTTTGTCTTGGACTAAAAGAGTTCCAGAGTGTTTCACATCTCATTCAAACTGGCCAACATGTTTTATCCTCTCTACATTGTAGAAAGTGCATATTGATGGTTGTGACATGGCCTTCAAACTCTGACTAGGTCTCTCAAATCGGAGCTTTCCACAGGAGTTCTAGTTCTAGGTTTTCACTGATTTGCTTTCACAGGAGAGGCTCTCCCCTGTAGTGTTTAGGGGGCCCATGGACTATCCCTAGCGATCCTTGATGCACGCCAGCGGGGTTGGCCAGTTTAATGCTAGGATGTGGAACTGCTGGGGCCAAGCAGTGCTAGGAATCACCAAAGTGCTGCTTCATTCATGCTCGACTGGGGACAGACTCAGGCTGGGGCTGGAGAGATAGTACAGTGGGAAGGACACTTGCTTTGCACACAACTGACCCAGGTTCAGTCTCCGGCCCCACATACGGGCTCCTGAGCGAGACCGCAGAGCCATGAATAAGCCCAGAGCATCACTGGGGCTTGACCCCAAAACAAAACAAAATAACCGCAGGTCATTTACACATGCATGTGCCCTGAGCTAGCTCTGTGCTTCACACACACTTTCTTCCTCCCCTCCTCTCTCTCCTCTCCTCCCCTACCTTCCTCTCCCCCTTCTTCCCTCTCCCCTCTTCCTTTATTCTCTTTCCCTTCTTCCTTTTCTTGACATTTCTTTTTCTCTTTCCTTCCTGCTAGCTGTCAAACCCAGGGCCTGACACATGTAAGGTGAATGCTCTACCCCCGAATCATATACCTGGATAATCTTTTTCTGTTTGTTGGGTCACACTTGGAGATGCTCAAGGGTTAATCCTGGCTCTGCACTTAGAAATTGCTCCTGGTGTTGCTCGGGAGACCATATGGAGTGTTGGGGATCAAGCCTGGGGTTGACCATGTGCAAGGCAAATGCCCTCCCCACTGTACTATCACTCTGGCTCCAATTCCTAGATAATATTACTGATGGTTTTTGTTTGGGTTTTGGAGTCACACCTGGGGATGCTCAGGGACTACACCTGGTTTGGTGCTTGGGACTCTTAGAGGTCCCAGGGAACTGTGCAATGGTAAGCACGAAATCCTAGGACTCTAGCATGGAAAGGATGTGCCCTAGGGGCTGGAGAGATAATGCAGCATGTGGGATGTTTGCCTTGCACACCGACCACCCTATTTCAATCCCTGGCATCCCATATGGTCCCCTGAGTAACACTAGATTTGGTTGAAAATTTTTAAAAAAAATAAATAAAATGCATGTACCCTATTCTTTTGAGCCCTGGCTCCCTATTGGTATTTGAACTTATTAGAAGTTATATATTGTTATAAAGAAGAGGAATGGAAAGTGTTTCTTCAAATGAATTAGGGATAATTCCTCTTAATTTTCTGCAGAAGCCGAAGAAAGGAAGAGTCCTTATTACCACATCACATTAGCCACGCTCCACTGATGATGAAAAAACTGGGTTAACCCATTTTGTAATATTTAGTGGTTGAACTTAGGATGTAACTACTGGTTGCTTTTTTCCATCTACAAAATATATTCTGCTTAGAATCAGAGATGTAATGCATGTAAACCAAGCATCTGTTTCTGATTAGCCGACAGGAAGCTATGTCACTGCTTCTGGTCTGACTAGTATTGAAACTTTGCTGCTTTGGAAATGGAACCATCCTGCATAATGTCACTTGAGGAATGCGGAATTGAGTGAGCATGGCATGTCACAGGAGTATGGGAGCAAAGCATGGCTCTAGTTTTAACTTTGCATGGTTTAGAATAGAAAAGTCCCATTGACTTAAATTATCACGGATTATTTGAGAAAGACATTTAGAACTGAAAAATGTCTTCGCGAGTGATCAGTGTTCTCAGTCATTTAGTGTAACTGTGGCCCCTTCCGGTCTGGTGTCCTTCCTCTGGCCCCTCTGGCCTGCTGAGAGGTTTTGGTTTTGGGCCATGCCTGGCAGTGTTAGTGGACCACACGTGGTATCAGGGATCAGATCAGGGTCGAGCACATGTGAGGCCAAGTGCCTTAATTGCTGTACTGTCTCTCTAGCCTGGTCCCAGTCTTGTGTGTGCGCCCCCCCCCCCCATGATTTTCACGTATGGCCCCCTTGGAATATTCTGGGCCTTACGGGGGGGCGGGGGGCACAGGACCCCAGTGTAGAAATCCTGACCTAGGCTGAAGTGATAGTAAAGTGGGTAGGGCATTTGCCTCGAGTGCTGCTGACCCAGGTTTGATCCCTGGCACCACATATAGTCTTTCATCCTGTTCTACCCTCTAGCCCCGTCAGGAGTAATCTCTGAGCACAGAACCAGGAGTTCATTCTGAGCAAAGCTGGACGTGGCCTGAAGGGAAAAAAAAAGAGAGAGAAATGCTGATTTAATCACTTTATTTTCATATAAGGTCATAGGACTCTCTTTGATTTCACATGTATTAACTTAATGAAAGAATGTCCAAGGCTTATGTGACCTGACTCAGGAGCTTTTGTTTTTCCTGATCAGACATTCCAGCTATTTTTCCTGATTCTTAGTACTTGAAGCGAGCAATAGCACAGCGGTAGGGCGTTCGCCTTACAAGCGGCCAACATGGCCAACCCGAGTTCGATTCCTCCGCCCCTCTCGGAGAGCCTGGTGAGATTCCCCCGCAGGGCAGAGCCTGGCAAGCTACCCGTGACGTATTCGATATGCCAGACACAGTAACAACAAGTCTCATGATGGAGACGTTACTGGGCCCGCTCGAGCAAATGATGAACAACGGGAGGACTGTGACTGTGACTTAGTACTTGAAAGGTGATTCTATATTTTAGTGAGTTTAAGTATATGCATAATTTTTCGATGTAAAAATCTCATTTGAAAAATCAGATTTTATTAATTTATGGGCTGGAGCGATAGCTCAGCGGGGAGGGCGTTTGCCTTGCACATAGCTGACCTGGGTTCAATTCCTCCATCCCTCTCCTAGAGCCTGGCAAGCTACCGAGCGTATCTCACCCGCATCGCAGAGCCTGGCAAGCTCCCCATGGCGTATTCGATATGCCAAAAACAGTAACAACAAGCACCACAATGGAGACGTTACTGGTGCCCGCTCGAGCAAATCGATGAACAAAGGGTGGACCGTGCAACAGTGCTATTAATTTATCAGTGTCCTACCAAAAAAAAATTTTTTTTACCTGATCAGTGCTGGAATTGTGGAGAGTGCTGCCCTCTAGTGTCCATCCAGTTACAGTGCAGGCATTTCTCCGGTGTCCTGTTCCAGGTGCATCTTAGTGTTTCAGGAAGTATCTATAGACCTGGAGAGGCGCCGAGAGGGTGTGATACGGTGTAGGAAACTGCTGGGCTGGCTTCTCTCTCTGCCCTGTTTTGTAGGAGCCTCAACTCATCCTGCTGGTTCTTTCTTTTTTAATTGGTGTTCCTTAGGTTCCGTTAAACTATTTTTATCTGATGGCTTTTGTTTTTGATTATATATATATATATATATATATATATATATAAAATTTGATTGCAGTACAAGCAGGTCATGTAGACAAAAAGCTTCTAATGGTTTTAGTTCAATCTTTGAAAGATTCTGTCAGTTCATAAGCAGCTTGATGCCTCTTGTTGGGGTGCCTGCTCCCATTATTCATGGCCATTCCTGAGACCTCCTTCAAAGTGCAGTGGGGGAAGTTGTCTTTTCTTTCCCCCTCTGCCCTGGTGAGCAATATTTGTTCATGAAAATCTCCCGGAATTGGAGGCAGTAGTTAAACCTGTTGTGCTTTTCTGTTTTGAATTAGCCTACTGGCATTTCCTTGCTTTCCTGACTCTCTTAGGTTTTTATTTTCTGTACAAACAAAAATAGTCTAATAGTCTGATTTAAAGTTGCATTTTAATCTGTTTTCTGTAATTTCTTCTGATAAAAGCCCTAAAGTTGATTTTAAAAATAGAAATACACACCCGAGAGCTGAGACACGTAACAGTAGATGACAAAATTAGAAATTGTCTAAAAACCAGAGAATACACAAGGAATTTTATTGTGGGAGTGGGGGAGTCTTACACCACACCCAGGTTCTCATTCCTGATGGGACTCAGGAGACTTTATTGGGTGCCAGGAATCAAATCCTGCTCAACCATGTGCAAGACAAATGCCCTACCGTCTGTACTATCTCTCTGTAAGATGTTTTCAGAGATAGAGCTATGATTTTTCATAAACTATTCTGCATTCTATTGGTGATCATTATTTTTCTAGTAAAAGGAAAGAAAGAGAAACCCAGCAACTTATTTATACTTATACTGTCACTGTCCACTGTCCGTCCGTTGTTCATCGATTTTGCTCGAGCGGGCCCAGTAATGTCTCCATTGTGACACTTGTTACTGTGTTTGGCATATCGAGTACGTCATGGGTAGCTGGCCAGACTTTGCCATGCGGGTGAGATACTCTCGGTAGCTTGCCAGGCTCTCCGAGAGGGGTGGAGGAATTGAACCTGGATCGTCCGGGTCTGCCAGGTTGGCTGCATGCAAGGCAAACGCCCTAACCACAGTGCTATTGCTCCAACCCTATACTTATACATCATACTTATATATGATAAGATCCCAGAATGCAGAAATTCTTTTGTGTGCCCATAAAGGACACCTTAATGATGAGTTTAAGTTTTTTTCCCTTCTGTTGGGGTGGGTGGTCAGTGGTGGTGTTTGGTCCACAACCAGGGAGTTATTCAGGAGTTATTCCTAGCAGGTTATTCTGGGGGGTGGGGCGGGCATTCCTTGCAATTATGAGCATGAAACCAAACCAGGGTTAGCCATGTGCAAGGCAAGTACTATCCCCTGTACTATCTCTCTGGCCCTTAATTTTTTCTTTAGGTGACTATGGGGCATAATACAAAAGGAATAGAATTGATAGATTATGTATTAATGTCTACATATGTAACCAAATTTTAAGTGTTGATTTTTATTTTGAATAAAAAATGCTGGGCATTCTTCAGCTTGTGTCTCTCCAGGCCCAGCCAGAATGGACTGTTTTAATCAGCTGTGTAATCTGCAGTTCACTTGGCCTAGTGATTATAGGCCGTGATCTGGAAATAGCACTGCATTTCAACTGCCTTCGTTTCTGGAAGGCGAGAACATTGGGTTATAATTATTTATTTATTTATTTTTGCTTTTTGGGTCACACTGAGCGATGCACAGGGGTTACTCCTGGCTCATGCACTCAGGAATTACTCCTGGCGGTGCTCGGGGGACCATATGGGATGCTGGGAATCGAACCTGGGTTGGCTGCGTGCAAGGCAAATGCCCTACCAGCTGTGTTATAGCTCCAGCCAAGAACATTGAGTTTCAGAAGTAGTTACTTGCCATTTAGTGATTCAGTTTAGTCTTGCCACTTGATATTTCCGTGTCCATGATAAGAGCTAGGCAAAGAAAGGACTAGTTGTTTTCATTTTGATCTAAAGTACTGGTGTAGATAAATGAATAACTCAGCAGAGCTCTTTTAGAGCAGAATGATTTCTGAAGGGATTACTTGGTTTGAGCCCCTTTCTGCTTGAATCATTGCGAACATAATGTGTGATGTGTCTTCCCTTTTAGAGCAAAGCCGGCGGGATGATTTGGAAGCCCTAGGCCATATGTTCATGTATTTCCTTCGAGGCAGCCTGCCCTGGCAAGGACTCAAGGTATCCAGTGGTTAATGAGGGGACTGCTGACTATCTGTAAGCCACACCGAGGGAACACTGGCGTCAGAAAAGCCGTAGAGATACTTTGCAAGCTCCGTCTTGTGAATCTGTCCTCTTCAGTTGGTTAATGCTTCCTTCTCTGTTGTTTCTGGGTTTCCCAGCATCCCTTCCCCCCGTTCCTCCCAACTTGGCAGTGCCCTCCTCACCCAGCGTTATGTAGCCTTCCCAGTGGTGGTGAGAGTAGGGGTCGGGAGGTAGATTTCTGGAACAAATTGATCATAGCAGGTGCCATTAATGACTACACCAGCAGCGCTGTATGTGTCCCCAGTGAGTGAAGGGAACTAGTTGTTGATCCTGTGCAGGCTAAAGGCCCACCGAAACAGAAAAACAAGCCCAGATTCAGCATTGCTTCTCAGGTGCGCTGAATGAAAGCCAGTGCAGTGGGAATCGCATTGTGATTACTGCCTCTGGCTAATACTCTAGGAAATGGTGAGTTTCCTTCCGATTCATTCTAAGTTCCTTTGTGTAGATGAGATGTATTTTTGAGCTGTTATTTACTTCAGCCTATTAAAGAAGAAAGAAACAAGTAGATTTGGGGGGCTTCCTAGAGACTCTTTCTCCCTGGAAAAGAGCAGAATGGTTGGTTTTGCTGTTTTCTAGAACACTGCTCTCTCCTTCCTGGTCTTTTTTTTTTTTTTTTTTGCCAGGTAGACCTTCTCATTGATATTGACACTTGTCAATTACTTTCACATCCTGCTTGTTCATTATCTAGCCACAAAATACATCTGTGTGTTACTAGTTGCTTGAAACTTTCTCTCATGATTCATAGATCATGTTGGTGGCAATTGTAGTTCTAAACTGTTTCCAAAGTAAATAAATAAATAATTAAAAAAAAGAAAAACAACCAGTTTCCAGTTTTAAAAAACGCTGTTTAAAGCTGGTACAGCAAGCCCCTTGAGACTCCCTACAGAGCACACCATTGGTCAGGATACTCAGTTCCCTTTTCTGCAGCCCTGAGCAAACCAGACTCTGTTAGCCAAGTCCATCGCAGCAGGACATCTGCCCCTGTGTTCAGTTCAGCCTCTTGATGTGTCTCTAGTGGAGCTCTTTCCTCCCTCCCTTTCCTCCCTCTCACTTTCTCTTTCTCCTCCAACCCATCTCTCTCTCTCTCTCATGCACTAGTTTCATTCATTCATTCATTCATTTATTTTGCTTCTCGTGCTCAAACTCAGAACTTCAATATGGTAGCATGCATGCCACCACCACCAAGCTCCAGTGGGCCACTGGTATTATTTGTAATCTTAAGATAGAGTTGCTATGAGAACTGTTGAGTGTCAGTGATGATGGGTACTAAGCTGTGACAGAGTAGTTTTATTTTCTTATCCTAGCCATTTATCTCCCTACATGTGAAGTATTTTTCCATCCATCCATTAAAAAGATTGCTGAATCTATTCTAAGTAAATTTTTTCCAGAGCAGATGTTTCTACATATCTAAATACATTATCTCTGCATTTTTTTTTTTGTTGTTGTTGTTCCTGTTACAGAGAGATACAGTATGAGGCTGCCTTCACAAATCCCACTGTTTTGAGTAAACCAGCCATTGTATCTGCAAACTCCTTGGACCGCCCTTCCTTAGTACCTCTTCCTAAATCTCTTTCTCTCTTTCCTCTCTACAGGCCGATACGTTAAAAGAGAGGTATCAAAAAATTGGCGACACCAAAAGGAATACTCCCATTGAAGCCCTGTGTGAGAACTTCCCAGGTAGGGCCTGAGTGGTGTGACTGGAGTTTTGAGATAGGATCTCTCTACAAAAGGGTGTTTGTCTACTTTACACTTCCCTTTATTGTTTTTTAGACTTGGTAGATTTTATTTTATTCTTTATTTATTTTTTGCTTTCTGGGTCACACCTGGCAGTGCTCAGGGGACCATATGGGATGCTGGAAATCGAACCTGGGTCAGCCATGTGCTGTGTTATCACTCCAGCCCCTAGACCTGGTAGATTTTAAAACTTTCATCTGATCCAGAAAGAAAAACCAGCCTTGGGGCCAAAGAGATAAGACAGTTCAATGGATAAGGTGCTTGCCTTGAAGGTGCTAACCCAGGTTTGATCCCCAGCACTGCATATGATTGATTCCCTGACTGTGGTCCATAATCCCACATCCCCAAGAAAAAACACCAGAGTCAGTATATACGTGTATTTTTTGTTTAGCTCCCAAACTTCTTATTCTGCTAACAAGCATGACCTCTCAACTCTTTTCCTGACAGAGGAGATGGCAACCTACTTGAGGTATGTCAGGCGACTGGACTTCTTTGAAAAACCCGACTACGAGTATTTACGGACCCTTTTCACAGACCTTTTTGAGAGAAAAGGCTACACGTACGACTACGCCTATGATTGGGTCGGGAGGCCTATTGTGAGTGCACTCATTTCACTTTTTCACGTCACACCTTCTCAGATCTGGCTTTTATTATTGGACTTTCTGCCTAAATCTGTGTTGTTAAATCTTCTGTGACTACACACTTTACATTTGCTGACCTTCAAGGAAGATGCACAAGGTTCCCCTACTAGAGGTGAGAAGTCCCGAGCACCACTCTGCTGTGTCCTGAGCATTGTGGCACCAGTCATACTTTGAGAGTCACTTGGACCTGGAAGCTGATGCTCCTGGGTCTGTTAAGGTGTCTGACTTCTATACGAGTAGAAATTTTTGAATTTTCTTTTCTGGCCAGAGATTCAGAGGGCCAGATATCTTACTAAGAGATATCATTATAGAAGAGGAAGTTTTTTGTTTTTGTTTTTTTCAATGTAATATCGTTTCCAATGAGCTGTTGTGGCCCAAGCGCCTTCTCTTCAAGGCTGAGCAGAGATAAGAAGACTTGAAAGTGCCCTCTAGTGGTTGAAAAGAAATACTGCTACTACCCTGTTAGCTGTCCCTGTCACTGTCCTCCCGTTGTTCTTTGGTTTGCTTGAGTGGGCCCAGTAACATCTCCATTGTGAGACTTGGTGTTACTGTGTTTGGCATATTGAATACGTCACGGGTAGCTTGCCAGGTTTTGCCATGCGGGCGAGATACTTTTAGTAGCTTGCTGGGCTATCCGAGAGGGGTGGAGGAATCGAACCTGGCTCGGCCTGGCTGGCTGCGTGCAAGGCAAACGCCCTACTGCTGTGTTATCGCTCCAGCCCACCCTGTTAGCTAATGCTGTCATTTTCATGTAGAGATGAGGGATTGAGTTGGGCCTGTTCCCATTTGACCTTTCACTCTGTCTTCCCAGCCTACTCCAGTGGGGTCAGTTCATGTAGATTCTGGTGCCTCTGCAACAACCCGCGACAGCCACACGCACAGGGAGCAGCCGTCACAGCAGCCTCTTAGAAACCAGGTATGTGCTGGGCCTTCCTTGTTCATATATTTCTCTTTTCATGTCTAATGTTAGAACTTAGGTTCTTTAACTTTTCTGCTTAACTGTATGTGTGAAATCAATGATAGAAGGCTTCCTATTTCTCTCCAGTACAGTGGGAAAATATTGAAACTTGGGCTGGAGACTCAATATGGGCACATGCTGGGTTCGATTCCCAGCACAGTATATGCCACCCCAACCCCCCAGCATTACCAGGAGTAAGCTGTGAACACTGGGTGTGTCCCCAGAACAAAAAAAATACTGAGATGTTGACCTGGTGCCTTACATGGAGAAGCCACTCTGGTGAATCTGGGCCGACCAGAGCCTTTGCTGAGGACTAGCCCAGAGTCAGGACTCCAGCCCAAAGGGTGGCAAGGATTGGCAGGACAACCCACTCTGGCCTCATCTGCAGTCAGTCTAGAGCGCTCATCTGTGCTGAGTTTTCTGGCTTCTTAAGAGGGTTGGTAATTGGATCGCGCTGGAGAGATAGTACAGTGGGTAGAGTGCTTGCCATATGCACACAGCTTAATCCTTGGCATCCTATATGGTTCTCTGAGTAGCACCAGGAGTAATTCCTGAGTGCAGATTAGGAGTAACCCCTGAGCATCTCTGCGTCTGTCCCAGAAAACAGAAATAAACAAAAGGGTTGGTGCTTTGAACTACCTGGGGATGAACTTGCTTCTGCACCCCACCTCAACCCTGTATCCAAGTCAGTTTTAAAGCTGGCTCAGATATGAGATGGTTCCTGAGTGAAGTCTCAGTTCTGTGTACTTTCTGCTTAGCTTCTACTCCAAAGAAGGTCTGTGTTCTTTTATCTTTTTTTTTCTTTTTGGGTTATACCCAGCGGTGCTCAGGGGTTACTCATGACTCTGCACTAAGGAATTACTCCTGGTGTTGCTTGGGGGACCATATGGGATGCTGGGGATTGAACTAGGGTTGGCTGCGTGCAAAGCAAACGTCTTAGCCATGGTACTATTGCTTCGGCCTGGTACATATCCTTTAGTGTTCATTCTTTTTGAAGTAAGCTGTCTTCATTTAGATTTTGCTTCATTAAAGACAGAGGAGGCATCCAAAAAAGTATCAACAAACCAGAGGTGATCCCTTTGTACAGCACAAGGAATAAGCCTTGTGCACTGCCAGTGTGGTCCAAAAGTTAAAAGAAAGAGAAAAGAAAAAAACTTTCAGGGGCCTCAGAGATAGTGTAGCGGATAAGGTACTTTCCTTGCATGCAACTGAACCATGTTTGATCCACGAACCGCGTATGGTCCCCTCAGGCCCATCGGAGTGATCCCTGAGCAAGTGCATACTTTGGAGTAAGCCCTGAACTCAGCTGGCTGTGGCTCCAAAACAAATAAATAAAAATCAACAAAATTGACAACATGAGAAGAGGCAATTGGTTGGAGAGTCAATAGAAGTGTTTAACTCTGCTTTGTTTTGTTTTGAGGCCACACACAGCAATGCTCGAGTGTTACTCCTGGTTCTGCACTTAGGGATCACTCCTGGTGGTGCTCAGGGATCATAAGGGATGCCAGGTATTGAATCTGGGTCAGTCACGTGCAAGGCAAACACCCTACCCACTGTACTGTCACTCCAACCCCCAGAGTTTTTAACTTTATATCATATATTGCTAAGAGTAAAATGTGCATCTCAGTTAATCAACAAAGAATAATAAAACAGTTTCACATACATAGGTACACACATGCATACATACATGTCATCATCACCTGTCAATTACCTTGTTTTCCATCATCTCGAACCTCACTTTTTATATTGACATTTTTGCAATAAAATGAAAAAGCATTTCATCACAGATGCTTGTGTGAAAGTACATAGTTTTAAGCAGTATACAGATGTGCACAGATTCATAAATATGTATAGACTTACCAGTGAGCATTCTCTTCAAAATATATGGCCTTTTGGATATGAAAAAAAAATTATAAACGGGGTCTGACCCAGCAGTTGCCTTGTTGTGTGCTTGTGCCCAGAACTATGCCCAGAACTATGCCCATCACTCCCCAAAAAGAAATTAGTGTGCTGGGAGTAGAGTTCAGTGGGATGAAGTGCAAACTTTGCATGTGAGGGACCCAGGTTCAGTCCCTGGCACCACTTGGTCTCTCTCTTGGGAGTGACTCCCCAAGCCCCACCAGAGAGCCAGGAGTAGCTCCTGGAAAAGGACATAAAGAACATAAAGAAAAGAACATTCCCTTTTGCTCAGGAGCAGGGAGCAAAACTAACGGCACTTAGCAAAGTGTAACCCTATTTGGGTCTGTATTTAACCTGTTATAATCAAAATGGTTGACTGACATTTTTAAATTTTACTTCAGTTTGACAACAGAATATTGTTGACTTCTGTGATTATTCATTTCTGTGTCCCTTTTAGAAGGGGAGAATGTTGAATGTGCAGTTTATCTGAAACTTTTATGCTTTTTTTTACTTCATAAATTGTTAAATTCTCTAGAAAGTAATTTTATAAAGTTACTGTCTTCTCTGGTAGAATAATCTTCTTGTAATCAGTCATATTAAGGCAATCTAAGATATGATTGTTATATGGATAAAACTGTTGAAATGGAGGCTCGAGTTGTAGCTCAGTAGTAAAGCAGGTGTTTTCCATGACAGTCTCTGAATTTGAGACTGTTGCCAGGGCTACCAGTGTTAATGATAGCAGTATATTAGAATTGATCTAACTATCTAGGTATGATACATTGTTTATGGCTTCAGCTCCAATACTTTATTGTATTGGAGTTATTTATTTATAACTTAATTATAGTGATTTTCTCAGTGGTATGTAGTTGTTTAAAAAAAAAAGGCAAACATAGAGATAGTACAGGGTTTAAGGCTCTTTCCTTGCATGTGGCTGACCTAGTTCAGTCCTCCACACCATGTATGGACCCATTAGCATTGCCAGGAGTATTCCCCGAGCACAGAGCCAGAAGTAAGTTCTAAACATTTCCAGGTGTTTAAGATAAAGGGCCAGAGAGATAATACAGAGGGTCGGGCTCTTACCATGCACACAGCAGATCAGGGCTCAATCCCCAGCAACCAATATGGTTGAGCACACTAGGAGCAATTCCTGAGTCCAGAGCCAGGAGTAACCATGCCCCCCTCACTCCCCGCCCTACCAAAAAAAATAAAATAATGTATATGGTTTTAATAGTGAAGAAATCAGGTCCAGGGATGTGGCTTAGTGATAGAGCATCTGCCTTGTATTTGTAAGGTCTGTGTTGGGTATTAACCCTAAGTGCTTTGGGCTTCATCAGTGAATTGTCTCCTTTCCTCCCCACATAGAAACTTCCAGTGCTCTTATGAGCACCCCTAATCCCCTGAGTTTATCTTTAGCCTTTCTTTGTGCTTTACCTCTCATTGTTACATTCCCCAAGTCGGTGTTGGTTAGTTATAAGTCAAAACTTTCTGGTAACTCTGGATTTTGTATTTTAAGTGAATTAACTTGCTTTTCTGTCTCCCCTGTAGAGCACGGTTCTTTGCTTAAACACAGAAAGACCGTTAATGCTACATTCCTAATATTTGGGAGTGATTGACTCAAATATATCTACTCTTGGGCATTCGTCATAATTACTTGACTCAGGCATCAGTTGCCGTAGTTCCTAACACCCCACAAAGGGAGGTCCCGCTGTGGGACTGGGATAGACCCCAGGCAAGTGGCGAAGCCATCCCGGCATCGAAATGGGACAGTCTAGAAAGCATAAATGCACAGTCTTGATGTAAGCCATTATGAATTGAGAGACAGGACGCCCATGGGGAAGGACAAGCTGGACTGGCCTGAGGTCTTAGTCTCGGATTTACGGTAAAAGCCTTACTTGCCCTTGGAGCCCAGAGAACTAAGTTTGGGATCTATATCTCTTACTATGTTTATCCAAATAACTGCAAGTATTAATCAGCAATAAATGTTAATGTTAAATATGTGTAACTAAGGGAAAAAGAAAAGCAATATAGATGTCCCTGGGAGCTAGAGTGTCTCCTTGAATTACCCCGAAAATTGCCTCTGCTGAAACTCTTCGCCTCTGTAAATGATCAGTCATACCTATGTGCAGTATTGTACCTCAAAACCCCCAGATGTTCTATAAGTATGCTAGCAGCTCTGGATTAAATGGGCCATATTTACCATCTATCCTTGAGTTCCCCATCTGTTTGTGGGGATGTGACTCTCAACCACCGAAGTCGTTGTGCACCCAGATTTTGAACTCACAGTCCTAGGCATTTAACATTACAGATAAAAGATGTTTAAAAATGGTCTGGAGAGTGAGTATGGGTGCTAAGGCCCTTGCCTTGCACATAGCCAACCCGCGCTCAACCTCTAGCACCCCACGTAGTCGCCAAGCCCTGCCAGGAGTGTCACATGATTGTTAAGAGATTGACTTCCCCTTTTCTACACATTACTGCGGATTTTATATCTCCTTCCCAATTTTGAATTGTTGCTGGGTAGTTTTTCTGCCCTGTGCAGTGTAAATCAGTGCGTTCTTAGTGTTTAACTTTTTTTTCTTTTTTTTGGCAGGGAGGTTAGGGCACACCTGACAGTGTGCAGGAACTATTCTGGACTCCTAAATGCAGAACTCCAGAAAGGCTCAGAAGAGTTTAATGAAAATGACAGTAAACATTATATGAACAACACCAAGTTTAGGTACTGAATGAAAAAGGCAAGGCTAGGAAAATGATCATAATGCTTTGATGCAAGGCAGAGGTGGAAAGTTAGTTTCTAATTTCAGAAGGAATTGAGACTAAATTTGTTTTGTTTTATTTTCAAGTCATACGCAGCAGGGGATGCTCCCAGCAGTGCTCAGGGAACTTGGTAGGTTCTAGAGATCAAATCCAGGCCTCCTTCATACAAAGCATCCATCCCGCCCGTTGTGCTACCTCTTCTCTTACCCTGAAACAACATTTTCAAACTGAGAAGTGTTGCTTATAGTTTTTCTTTCAAAGTCTTTTTACATAGAAAGTGATAGTAAAGTAGAAATGAAGTCTTATGA